TGATGGAGAATTGGGGATTAGGGCTTATATCAAAGGAGAATTTGGCGGGTGCGATTTTAATGGCGGGGGAGTCTACCGCGCTGCTTGAAATAAAAACTTTGGCGCCTCTTCATTTCGGTTTCGCGCAAAATTTCCAGTTTTGTGTATTTACTAGAAATGGCCTTATATTAACGCCTGTTTATGACTCTTTTCCTTAATGCAATGCTTTTGGTATATAGAAAAACAAAAACAAAAGTATTTCATTCTAATCTCGCCATTAAATTTTGTACTTTTTTTATACACAAGATTTCGTTGTAAAACAAAGGGGATCCAATCTACGTCTACCACTCTCCATCTCTACAACACGTGGCGGCTTCCTTAGTTGACACGTGGTACTTTTCACAAAAAATGACCGTTATAATGATTCATCTCTCCAATCTATACTTACAAATAAGAAGTCGCAGATCCTAGGTGAGTGAGTTTAAGTCTTGGTTTGCTTATATTACCCTTAATGAATCAATTAATTACATATCCATGCCATTAGGGTTATTGTAAGTTTTTAAACAGAAAAACACGTAGCCAATTTTGGGTTATTGTAAGCCTTTAAGCTGAGGTTATTAAAACACTAATATTGGCCCATCGTGATTGTTAGGGTTTACTTATAACCCTAAGTTCTTATAATCTTTTGTTATAAATAACACAAAAAAAATTTATAGAACCTAGCCGCTATGATTTCTTATATATGAATGATTTTTTATAGTTCTAGGGCTAGTCCACATCATGTATTTTTTTACTTTCTTCTCTGTTGCGTTTTTAGATTTTTTTTGTTCTTCGTTTTTGTGTGTCTGATTTGTTCTTCTTTGTTTTTTTCTGTGTGTTTGTTGTTTATTTTCAGTTAGTGATGTGATTTTATTTTTAATGTTCACAGATATATGAGCAAACATTAATCCCACGAGCAGACAATGAATAACTAAGTGAATTGTCAAGACAACGTGAACCCCTACATAACAAATAAGGAACATCACATAGATGCTATATATGTACATGTCACGTTTGTTTCTTAGGGTATGGAGGATCCGGTTTATACTATAGTATTCACTGGGTTCAAGTGGAGTTTGGGAAGTTTTTTGTTACTCTCATCGTTTTCCTTTTTATTCCGCTATTTAATAATCATATATTTTTAGTTGTGATTTTTGTTATATTTGGTTTGAATAAGTTATGATAAGTCTGAGAGAGGATTGATCTGAAAAGAAAATTTTCATGTGACTCAAAATTGTGTTCTATTGTACTCTTGGATTCATATAGCATAAGAAGAATTCTAAACATAATTAACTTGACATAAGCTGAGTATTTTCATTTTTTCCTGGTTTTTGTGATTTGTTTGGTAGTTTGTCATAAAAGCTCTTGGAATCCAGTTTTTGACTTTTGTATGTTGGGGTTTAAACGTTTAACTCTAATAACAACTTAACATATATTCATGTGTTGATTTGATTTGTAGTACAAACATCAAGGGGGAATCAAACGATGATGTAGAGTACCCATCGGAAAGATAAGAATATATAAAACCAGACGGAATCCTGTAGATAAAGATGAAAATTTAAGCTCAAAATCAGACCAACCATCGAGAATAATAAAAAGAAGGATGAAAGTGATTTAGAGAATTCATGCTCAAGATGAAAATAAGCAATAAAGTAGTCTAACGAATTAATACATCTATATCATCTTTTGTTTTTGGAGGTAATTATAAGAAAAAAACTTTATCATCTTATAATTGCTTAGCGATGATGTTTTTAATATCGGCAATATGTCTTAGTTTTAATTATTTTAAATATTCTTATATATCTATATCTAGGGTTTGCATCATTTTGGAACAGGACCCATAGTTTGTTGATAATCATCTTCTTTTTTTTAACGTATGTTTATTCTCATATTTGCATGTTCTTATTACGATATTTCTATGGGTTTTGAAATGGTTTGGCGACAGATTAATTTGTTGTATTTATCAAGTCTAGTGTTTCAATCATTCTAGAAGAAGGCCATGGAGCTCAACTCTTCCCTCTTACACTGAGAACCGCAACAGCCGCTGTAAGTATTCATCTTTTTGTCGTTTTCTCTTTTGAGAAAAAAAAAATTGTAAATAACGCTCATGGAGATTAGGACCTCAACGATCTTATCTATAAATTAGTGTTTTGTGTAATTAGCATTTCTATGTATGTTCCTTTGGTGGTTGCTACAGGCTGATCGAGGTCTTGATGAGTAACTGTATATTAACAGTTGCATAAATAAGATCTTTGTACTTACAAGTTCAACTTGGTTTCTCTTAGTCGACCTTTTGCACGTACATATTTTGGGAAAGTCATTAACTTTGGAGGTGGTTACGTAGAGGTATGAACACTAAAACAACAAAGAATTTTGGGTTTCTTGATTTATCGACGAGTAAAGCAAACGTAAAATCTTATTGAACATGTTCTTGCTGTTACACTAACACATGGTGAAGCCGGGAAGAAGTTGTTTCAAGTTAGCAGATGCTGTCTGAAAGTTTCTATGGGTGTTTGGGGTACGAACTTATGATCACTTCTATCAGTATGAAAGTTTGTTCTTTTGTGATCCCTGAAGTGGTCTAAATGTTGTTGATATCTCTTAAATAAGTGCAAGAACAGGAACATGCTATAATTTTAGCTCATAATTATTATTGAATAGAGTGTAGGAATATATAGAGATATCAATTAAGATTTTTCTTAAACAACGAAGTATAGATATATCTTTGTTCGTAGGAGCCTTAGCATGAGACATTTGATTAAAAGTGTTTGAATTTCCAATATGAGTTAGAGGGTTTAAAAGATAGATGGCTTGAATATTATTTGGATTTTTGGTTGCGGAGAGTTATGGGCTCATTGCACTCACAACAAACTGTTCTCAACAGATA